TGGCCTATTATCAAATAGTTTCAACCAGCTCACAAGTTGTTACAATAACGTACAGGGTTTAGCATGTACATGCAGCCTCACACAAGGATCATGATACCTGATGAAGGGTATGTGTGTGCTATTATTGTTGTTGCTGCAGCCACTGGTTCTTCTCAGGACCTGCCTGAGACAGAGCAAGAAATGGCATCCCCACGTCCACTCAGCCTATCTAAGCACGAAGGAGTGTACACATTTGCATGTGCATGTGTTGGCACAGGAGAGAGAAAATCCCAAAAGCACCTCTCCCCATCCCTGGTAGGAAAATTTAAAACAATAACTTATTAAGCAATAAAAATACATGATATGACATACTAAACAGCTGTTTGCTACCTTTCCATGGCATCTGCTGTCTGAGGCAGCTGCCTGATGCTGCTTCATGGCAAAGCTGCCCCCACTGATGCTTTATGGCTATTTCTTCTTCAGAAATGAACTCCCAGCAATGGTCACCTATGTGTTCACCCTCCCCCCTGCTTTTATTTTTATTTTTCTCAAGAAAAAGGACAATGGATATATATTTCACTCCTTCCATGGAATGGTGTTATACTTCTGGTAACGGTTGCTTTTGAGGTGGGATGCAGACATGTTTCATTTCAAGATTCATGCAAATGGAAGAACATGTTTGGAATTCCTTGCTGGGGGATAATACGATATATAAACTACTATCGCCTCTATTTTGGTAAACTGTCTTTACAAAGCAACCAGTGTAGAAGTAATTAAAGACCCTTGACGCTCTCACAGTCAGATGCCACCAGGCCTGGAAAGTAACAGTAAGAGACAAATTCATGAAATAAACAACTATGAAAGATTTTAGTTAATTTATAGAAAATCTCAATTTCTCTTTACATCAGCAGTCAGAATGATCTAAGTCTGTTATCTTTTGTAAGGACTAAAACTGCAGCAGACAAAAGGAAATAATTCTTTCCCTTATGAATTGATTGCTTAAGAAATGTTCTTCCACTGTGAATACACAGCAGTGCATACAACATAATTCATGAAGCAAACCCACAGAAATCAATAGGTTGGCTGTGAATAACAAGCTCCATTCATTCCAAAGGGGTGTCCTAGAGACGAGATTAAAATTAGATTCATCGTACCAGTAGTCTTCTAAAAGTCTGGAGAATATGAACAGAATTCGGAAACGTTATTTTTGCGGGCTACCACATTGGCAAGCTGTGAGTATAAATTACACACTCCATCTGAATGGAATTTTAGAAGAATTGTGTTTAGAATAGTGCACTGGAAAAATCATGAACAATCATGCCCAAAATAGAGCAAGTGTTCAAAATTTAAATCTCACACATTCAATGTCCATTTAGTGTCCTACTGAAAGTTGGCAAGATTGGCCAATGTTAATTCTGCAGTCAAGACTTTTGAGTAATACTGGCTACCCAGACAAGCCAATCCATCTCTCCTTGAAAAATAGGCCTTCACTGAGAAGGGAAAAACTTGGAGGAAATCACTCTGGATAGCCGGAGAGAAGGAAATTGTTCAACCTCATTTTCTCCTCTAAATGCAATTCTTTCATTGCTTTGGTGGCTGCTGACTTATTGGCATATTCATCACCCAGCACTCCTCTAGGCTCCAAGAGCTGCAGAAGAAACTGCTTTTGTGCCGGTTAAATAGTGACATTTGCTTTCGGAAAGCGTCTTTTAGAGGGACATCACACCTGCATTTGTAAGAAACTCCAGCCAGAGATTTTTGTCTGCTCCATCACTTCAGCCTGTTGGGAGATGGATATTAATGGCATGCCACAGAAGTGGCATGATACAATCAAGGGAAAAATTGTTTTGAGATTCGTTGCCTTTTGTCTGAGACATCAGTTAATACCCAAGCTAGAGACAGAGGATAAAACCATTACCTGAGTTGGTGATAAAGTATAAACAAATGTTTCTCTTAGAAAGTTGTGGCTTGTTTTCATGATCTGTTAGTGCTATGAAGGATTTTCATCCACATTTAGCAGAAGCTGAAGCTGCTGTTAGGCCATGTCAACAGTAAAAGAGCAATCACTAAGGTGCGATGTGAGGCAGAAAGCATGGGTCATTTGTTCTGAACTCCCAGCATCTTCCTCTGAAAAAGGATAAAACCATATGTAGGGAAGAGCCATATGTAATCATGGCTCCACCAAATGGGCATGTCAACACTGTAAGAAGACTGTTCAGGGCCAAACTACAGTGGTGCCTCGCTTAACGACGTTAATTCATTCCAGCGAAATCGCTGTAGAGCAAAAACGTCGTAAAGCGAAAATAAAAAACCCATTGAAACGCATTAAAACCTGGTTAATGCATTCCAATGGGCTAAAAACTCACTGTCCAGCGAAGATCCTCCATATGGTGGCCATTTTCGGTGCCTCTATAGCGAGGAATCCGTCCCTAAGCACAGCGGGGAGCCATTTTGAGCACCCGACGGCCATTTTGAGAACCCGACGATCAGTTTTCCCGAAGCAGGGAACTGATCTTCGCAAAGCGAAAAAAATCCATGAAGCGGATTCGTTGTAATGCGGGGTAATCGTTAAGCAGGGCACGACTGTATATGTTACGACTTCATCCACCCTTATTTAGAATTTATTTATGCCATGGGTGACAAATCTTTGGCCCTCCAGACATTTTTGACTACAACTCCCATAGTCCATTGCTTTCCACTGCCCCATAATGACTGGGGCTTCTGAAAGTTGGGAGTCAAAAACACCTGGAAAACCTAGGCCCAAACCATCACTTAGGATCAATATTGGGTCAGTCACTTTATCTTGTCTTAATCAACTGTGAGAGATTGTTGTGAGAACAGAGGGTGGATTTATCTCCACACTGAACTTTTAGAGGAAAGGCATGATGAACATGCAAATTAAAAAAAGAAGAACAATAGAAGAAACTACATGGATAAATGCCTCAGGTTCCTTTATTCCCAGAGCCAGCCCATGGCAACATCTTCTTCTTGCAATGTAGTAAATTAAGTCTTAAACTGAGCTCCTACTGGCAGTTGTTTTAGGTTAATTTAATCTGGCTTGTTTCCCTGTTTCAGGGCATTGCATAGAATTATAAATGCTTTATCCTCCTCTCACTGATTCCTGCAACCAAGCTGGTAAGGGATAAATTGAGAGGCCACAACTGTCCACTTTAGATAAGAAACAGAAGGCAGGAGAGTTTTGCTTCTTTTATGCTTTGTGTAAACACACACAGGGACTTACAAATCCCCAGAAATCCTTCTGAGAAGCCTCCTCCAGCTGGGCTTCCCACCCTGCTTTATTCCAGACCAAGTTGGGAACAGAACTAGTTTGTTCTTTGGCAAAAGCAAGCATGCCACATACTTTGCTGAAATGCCTACTGCACCACTTAAGAACTAGGTTTAGCCACCTGGCATCTTCAAGCCTTCTGATTAACCAACCAACCAAAAAAAGAGACAGGTTTATTTTTGCCCATCTAGTCTAGATAACAAATACAACATTACTAAGTGTAGAGGCTAGGAAAGGATTGCACACACACACACACAAAAAAGGGCAGGGTTCTGGGAGTTGTAGTGCAAACAAAGCAAACCATTTTTCTCAAGCTCTGATAAAAGGTAGGACATGAATTATAATTTACAAAAGAGTACAGGTATTTTTAAAGCACAGTTGTGGGGGCATGCACTTCAAGGGAAATGAAGTTAATTGACAGCCTGCTCTCAATTAAGTTAATTGACAGCCTGCACATCTCAAAGAAGCATGGTATCTGATCAGGGTTTCAGGGGAGCCATGGATCCTCACTCCAGAATGATCCAATGGAAGCTCTAGAGCAGGATGTCCAACCTTTCACCTACTCTGGGCCACATTAGAAGATGAAAATTTGAGAATGCAACCCGGGATAAATGTTAAACTCCTTACTGACATGCTGAATTCAACCAGTTAATCTGTTTCAACATGCCTACCTCACTAGATTGTTGTAAAGTCAAAAATGGGAGAGGAATCGAACCAGATATGTCAGGATAAGAAATAAATAAACAAGCTGTCACTTAGATTTGAGTCTTCCTGGTTTTAAGGGGCTTGCTGGATAATGGCTGAGGCTTACAGCGTTATACCAAAGTCAGGCAATCCTTAAGCAAGCACTGTTCTTTTCAGCTTTTATTCTGGCCCCCACCCCGATATTTCCAGCATCAATTAATCTCCTTTCTTACATGCAACTAATGACTGCCTATGGAAATACACCTTCATCAAATCCATCCATTTAGTTTAGGAAAGAATCTTGGTCTAATTCAGCCATGGATGTTCCCCTTCTAGCCTCACCCCCTTTCCCTCCATTATTTGCTGCCCTTACCTCTTGTAAGTGATCAGAGAATCAAGAATTTAACATGTGGCAGGATTTTGCATGGAACAGAAGTTCTGCTTTGACTAACCTTCAAACAACAGGGACAGAGGATATGCACAACTTTTAGTGGCATGTGAGTGTGTCCCTTGTTGAACCAGAGTGTTTATGGGGCAAACAAAGGGGTGTGTGTGTGTGAGAAACATCACAACCAAAAGTATTAGAGAAGTATTTGCAGATTTGTTCAATGTGGTTTATTATTTCAAATTTCCCAATATATACATAATGTATAGTCACATCTTGGAAGGGAGAGGGAACTTTCATTTACACAGAAATATCTACAGAATATAAATCGACTCAAGCCATACTTTTATATAATTTGTGTCTTAATAGGCATATATACAAATGGAAGATTGGACCATGTCTGAAATTCTGTTGCTTAATGTAGTAAGTTGTAATAGAGTAGGCCCACTGAATCACTGGGGATCTGGTGAGTCAACTCCACTATAAATTCCCTGGATTCAAATGGGTCTACTCTAATTTTGGCTCCCTTTATTATAGTAAGTCACAACTAGAAGAGGACTATCTGAATAAATGGAATTTGCAAAGGAGGTGATTCCCCAAATCCCCACTACTCTAGTTCAATTTACTATGCTAAGCAAACTATTTGAATAAATGGAATTTGCAGAGGAGGTGATTCCCCAAATCCCCACTGATTTGGGCCTACTCTAGTTCAATTTACTATGCTAAGCAACAGGATGTCGGCCAATGAAATTATCAGCACACAGAAACAATAAATAAATGCTTTTGTTATGCGAAAAAAGCTCAGATCCACATAGATTTACATAGATATGGCAACATGTCTTCCTTGCATGATTTTAAAATTTCACTAGAAGACTTGAAAAAAGTTTTCTAGCACCACCTACTGTTGTCATTAAAATATTAAACCAAACTGCCTTTCAAAGACTGTGAATAAAATATAGCATAACATCCATAGGGATTTGTGTATTCTCAGACAACATTATAGAATGGAAAGAAAATCAGAATGAAAAGAACATACTTCACATATCTTTTTGTTTCAGAAACTCGCAGGACAAAATACTAGCAAATAATTATTAGTGTTCATGGCACTTTTTCCCCCCCTGGAGAGAAGCCAGTAACAGAGGAAATTCTTGCTTTACAGACTAAACAAAGAAGCAAAACCAAACATGTTTGTTTCCACATTCTTCCCAGCTGCCTCTAGTGGTAAAGACAGCTGTCACTAGTAACCAGATTATAGATACCAATCTCTGTGGCAACATACAGTGATTCACTGCATGTATGATTAAGCCACCACCAAGTCTAATACTAAAGTAGAACTATTGGTCAGCATTCCCTGAAACATAGTATTTTGCAACACAGTCATTTAGCCAGCCGTAAGGCATAATCACATGATGAGAAACTGAGTGACAGACACATTCATGTGAATCAGCTATCATTTATGCACTCTCTGAAATTCTATGGACTGTGCCCGTGCAAGCATACACAAGTCAGTATTTTAGGTCAGTCAGCATTCTTTTGCACTTAAGAGCTGAATGGAGCACTCAGATGTGTCCTTAGATGACAGCAAGTGTCTCTCTAGATATGTATGATGGGAGGCACATAAATGCTCAGAAAAGGAGGTAGGTTCTAGTACGGTGATGGTAAAACAGCCCAATATGGACGCTCAAATATTCAATTCACAAACATAGGAAATACACATAATTTGGAACCGGAGCAGCATTCAGATTCCTGAGAAAGTCTGCTTTCATTAAATCTCCAAAATCAAGTCTCTACTCCTGATGGTTGCAAAGCTAGCTCTCTATGCTGTGGGTAATGCTTGATGCCACTTCAGTGGATGGGGCTATCCTACTAAGCTTTCCGTTAGTCAGGGTGATACGATTTCCCAGCTCTGCATAGCTCACTGCCCCCTGCCCCAATGATTTAAGAAAGTATACATTCCCTCCCAATAGCTAACAAAAGTTTAAGTCACATGAAAATATTTGGTATTGCTTTAATTTATACAAGCTGCAAAAAGCAGATTTTCTTGGCACAAAAATTACCATGATGAAGAAAAATTTTGTATATATGAACAGTCTAACTGAGTGAACAGATCTGTAAATACTGACATGGTTGCTGGAGGACATCCTTCAATAAGACCTAGAAGTCAGTTAAAAAAAAACCTCTGCAAAAATAAAGAGAGATGTCAGAAGAAAAGAAGGCTGGAAAGTAAAAAGATGAAGAAAATTAGAGTCTAGGGAACAAACTATCTACTGTATGTCCAAGTTGCTTGCAGGCAAGTTGTGTACCAAGCAGCTTATGAGAAAAGCTTTCCCTCTGATACCTAATTTTCCTCTAGTCCTACAGAAAAAGACACGACCCTTGGATCTCCCAGTGTTCATTTAAGAAGAGGCTTATAGTACAAATAATGAAGAATCCAGCTGCTACAATACCCAGCTCTGAAACAGCAGAGATAAAACATGAGGATGGCATGACTACAAAAGCTGCAATCCAGTTCTAGGAAGAACTGTGAGCACAAAGGAACATTTCTAAATCCCAGCAAAATGCAGGGTATCTTATCAACGCACTATGAGGGGGGGAGGATGTCTGGCTCTGCAGAGGTTTTGGAGTTCAGCTCCACCAACTTCACTTAAGATGGCCAATGGCAAGGGATTAGCGCCATTTGGATGGCTAAAGGTTCTCCACTCCATTGATTGAAAGGTATTGACACCCTACTCTTCACAATATCAGTCCCAGGGCAATTTGCATTGTATGCATGAGCAAGCACAGGTGCTGCCAAGCAGGAAGGGAGCATGGGAGGAAACTTCACCTCCGCACCAGTCTAAGAATTCCTCTCCACCTAACCTTGCCTCGTTGCATTTGCTTCCAAAGGGAGGGGGAGGGGAAGGCACATGACCCACTCATGGATCGCAAGCCATTTTATCTAAATACTCTCTTAGAAATCTGAATACATTTATGAAAAAGAAAGTTAAAAATATGCCCAAGTCCACAGCATTTTAATCACACCTTCAAATACAGGGATGATATGAATGAATCAGGGACAGAAAATTTGTGGTCTTCCAAAATTTTCAGATGGCAACTCCCATTATGCTGGACCCATCTTCAAGGGTTACAAACAAACCTTCTCTAGAAGTAATGGTGGGATATAAGATAGTATTTTGACAGATGTCTTTCATGTAATGGCAAGAAACCCTTTTCCTAAACTGTCCTATGGTAAAGAAAAAGCTAGTGTAAAAGGAAGCTTCAGCTTGAGTCTTACAAGATTAAAATTGCTGAAAACCTTCAGGAGCAATTGCACATGTTCCCATCTCCACCATGGTTTTCTTCACACCAATCTGCATTGGAAGAATAATACCAATTACTGAGTCACACTACAATTATCCATATATCTCTACAATTATACAAAGTAAAACCTGCCATGGTCTCCAAAATTAGAAACACTGTTTTGTGCATTTTCCTTTATCAACATACAACAAAGACAAATGTGCCCATATAGATAAATGCTGTGGATAATTTGTTTTTACATTTAAAAAAGCAGCCAACGTTAGTTACTGGTTCGGAACTTGTGGACAGCAATTTTCTTATTTTTCTTTTGTTTATCCATCAATCCCTGTCTGCATTTTCTTCTGTTTCTTTCTCTCTCACACATACACAAAATCACATGGAATAGATAGGCCAGGGATGCATTTTAAACAAGATTTAGTCTGCTTATGAATCCAAAAGTTTTCTAACATGGTTCTGGCTCATAAGCTGAATTTATGATATACCCTGAAAAGACAGTAAGTCTTTCCATGTATAATTAAGAAACCCTGTTTTTGCAAACACCTTGATATGCAATCCCTTCTTAAGCTCCAATCTTTAAAACCAGCCTTGTGTAATTAACTAGGATTTCTCATTTCAATGAAAAAAATTCTCTTGGTCCGCATATATGAACTGAATCTAGAAAAATGTAGAGTCATATACACATAGAGACGAACATTTGAGTACTTGCAGAAACATTGGTATATGATTACGGTCTAAAATCATTATGCACAACAATGAGGAGCATTATTCCCCCACCTCCTTCCCATCACCTGCCATGTACAGGTAACTAAGATGTACAACTTAACATTATAAATTGGAAGGCAAACATGTTTTTCTTACAGTAATATTACTATTGTACACTTGTACCATGCTTTCGGAAAAATGTGAAATGTGCAGCTTTTAAAAAAATATAAACTCTAGCATTATCTACATATTTATACAATGAATTTTAGTTTCTGCCAAAGAAGCCTTATTTTTTTTACAGTATAATAAATCCACATACTTAAGAAAAAGAATGGAACCACATGAAGCTGAGTAAACAATTCAAGTGAAGCGTTGTACTTTGGAATAAATAATCGAAAGGAAGATTGAAAGTTGACACTGTGCATGCTAGCCTATCAAGGTTCCTCCCCTATTCTACAGCAGGAGAGAGAGTCTTTTTATAAAGGAGCGGTGGAGGAGAGAAAGTAAATTAGTATCGAACCGTTTACGGGCGGAAAAGAATCAGTTGGCCTTTTGATTACTCTAGCTTTAGCTTTTCAAAAGAAGACAGTAACACAAGATTAAAAATTCTGTTTTTTTGTGGGGTTTTTTTTCTGCTGCTGCAATAGGGTTTTGGACAGCTTCTATCTTTTAAACAAAGCAAAATTTTATTAAGCTAATTCAGTTCCATTAGTTGTTCATTTCCCAAAGGGAGGGAAAAGAGAAGTCGAAAGGCAAGGTTTTGCCTGAGCTTCCTTCTTCTTAGTACTCGAACAGGTACAAACCTGAACAAGCACTGCTTCATCAGCCCTGCCCTGGAAAGAGGGAACATCAAGACATTCGAGCATCAGAAACTGAAGCTTCTTCCTATGGCTCTGCTACTCCTGGGAAACAATGCAGATACATGCTGGTTCTTGTCCAAGCCAAGACAAAAAGGCAAGGCCACAGCTTCTACTAACTTGTCCTTCTCTTCTTTTCTGTTTTGGGAATTGTTCGCCTATGTACTGCAGGCAGAGGTAACACTATTACTTTTTCCTGGTGTAAAAGGCAGGAGTAACCCACCAAAGCAGCAAATAATAGAAGGTTGTTCTATCATTCTGCATGAGCTGTGCATGCTATTAAACTACCACTGCTGTATAGCCTGTGAAAATGATCTTAGCCTTAGAATAGGCTGGTGCAGGCTAAATAGGGTCACTACAAGACATCTGGACTTGCAGGAACCATATTTGGTTTGCACCAGCCCACTGTCAACTTGCCAGTATCAGGAAATGGCTTAAGGAGAGAGGCACTTCAGGATATTGGCAAATTAAAGGCTTCCCAGCTACAGTGGACCCTCTACTTACAGAATTAATCTGTATTGGAACAGTGGCTGCAGGTCAAGTCTCCTTTGACCTACAATGCATTGAAAACCGATTAATCCAGTAACCGGCCGTTTTTGTTCCATTTTGGTTTTTTTCCTAGTCTGTAGGTCGATTCTTTGGCTGCAAGTTGAACCTAACTTTCGCGGCCAGAGAATACTCTGTAACTCGAAAAGTCTGTAAGTTGAGCCATCTGTAAGTCGAGGGTCCACTGTACATGGAGGGGCCAAGGAAGTCCATTTAAAAAAAAAGTATATTGAGTTTACGTATTTAGAGTAAAGCAAAGAAAAATCCCCCTTATTGCACCTTCCTTTCTCCCCCTGCTTCTGGGGAAGTTTCCAATTTCTCTTTCATACCTTTTAAGTGAGACAGCAAATATGTGCTGCCTTAATACCCTTTTGAAAATATTCACTTCCTTGACCTCTCCAAAGATCTGAAAAAGTGTTCAAGTTGTCATATCCTAAACTGGCTTTTTTCTTAAGCCACTTCACAATATTGGCAATTTAACAAGGGAAGGTTCATTTTTGGTTTGTTTCCAGCATTCACACACACTGGAAACAAACCAAATTAGAGCAATCCTACCCCCCCACACAAAACCCAAAACAACAACAACAACAACTATCCGGAAGCTAGGAAGGGAGCAGAAAGCCAAAAGCTGTAGATAGGACTGCTCTGGGGATGGGCTGGTTTGCTCTAGTTAATTTGTCACCCGATCATTGTCGGTAGGAGCAAACCAGCCCATTCCTGCAGTGCACCAAAAAGTGGACGAAATACACCCTTAAACTGTGAACTCACTCCCTTAGTAAGTGAGGAGTCCTGATAAATCCACTCCTCCATTCTTCCACCCACTTAGTACTTATGACTGTCTCACTATACACACAGCAATGTGATATGTTACTATTTTATCATTCATATTTACACTGCAATAGAAACATACAATTGTTACTTCAATTTTAATTTACAAAGCCTGTTTCCAAGGGTAAGACTTATCATTCAATTCTGTATTTCAATTAACTATTACAGAAGTTTCTTGATCAATGTATCTTAATCTTTGAAAAAAGCCCATTCACACCTGAAAAATCCGAAGATTTCCTCCCCCTCCCAAAAAAACCCTGTTCTCCAGTTGTTAACATCTTTATTATCCTGACTTTAGGTTATGTAAAAGGAAATAGTGTATTGTGAAGCTCTTTTCCAATGCATGCTACAGGCTAGCAGATTAAATAAAACCAAGAATGTATGTGGCTTTTGTGGGATGCATTTACGCCCTAGTAGGTAATATGTTTAACATATCAACAGCCAACATACTGCATCTTATCCTTTAAAAAAAGACAAACCACCACTCAAAAATCAGTTCTTCTTTCAAACTTCTTCACTAAGATGATATAATTGCACAAAGCAGAGAGGTTTTTTTCTTCACTGTCGTTAAATTGAAGTTGTAAATGCTAAAATCTTGTTTTGGGAAAAGCAACATGGATATAAATGAAGTTTACACATTTAAAGTCTTTGTTGCTTCTAGCAAAGGAGGCACTGGGATCTTGTAAATGCTGCTCACAAGCATATGTCAATGTGCTTTGTTAAAGTTTCATGGAATTGACAGAAGACACTGGCAGACATCCAGCTTATATAGCAATAGGGTTTGAAGCACCTGCCTTTTCCGCCTCCTTAGACTTAGTCTTTGTTATGTCTGTTTCAGCCTCTGTTCCAGTTCATGCTGCTGCTTAATTAGCCGTTCTATTTCTGTTCCTAGTGTCTGCAGATTTTCCTTTGAAGACACAAGGGAGAAATATTAGTGGACCAAGTTAAAAGCTACACATAATCATCAAGAAAAACTATATAACCATCAAGGATGCATATCTATTAGAGTCTGAAAGTAATACACATTTACAAATGAGATGTATTCAATCAATATAATTTTATTTCCTCATATCCAAGACAAACTATTTTAAAAGCCGTGACTGCATTTAGAGCATGCCTGAAAGCTGTCCTCTACAGAAAATTTGCTTCAGCCGCAAGTTGAAGCAAAATTCCTACCAGATCGTATGAACCATGGCAGGAAATGGAGTTGGGTTGAGCTGGTGGCTTTTCATCACCAGTATAATTAATAATAATCATGTGCCATCAAGTCAATTCTGACTTACGGTGACCCTTTTAAGGGTGTTCCAGGTAGAGAATACAGTGGACCAGTGGCTGTAACTTGAAAATTTTGGAAGTCGAAGCACCATTTCCCATAGGAATGCACTGAAAACCAATTAATCCATTCCGGCCAAAGAAAAAAAAATCCTGGGCTTCCAAAGCTGCACCCCGCTGCCCTCTGCCTCCTGTCCCCGTGGGTGGATGCCTTTTTCTTATGACTTGGCCATTGGGCGGTTTTCTAGGAAGTTTGGATGCCTGGGAAGCCGGCACTGGCGCGGAGGTCAGGGCAGTGTTGGAAGCCCGGGAGGCTGAGCCTCCCTTTTTCCTAACCGTTGGGGTGAAGAAGCAGCCTCTTCGCCACCAACGGTTTGAATTCCCTGCCCTTTCCCCCCGCCTTTTTCTGTTTGTAACTGGAAGCTCTGGCCGCAAGTTGAAGCAAAATTTTGCGGCCGGAGCTTTTCATAACTCAAAATGTTCGTAAGTAGGGACATTCGTAAGTCGAGGCCCCACTGTACTTAGAAATTGTTTGCCATTCCTTTCTTATGGGGCCACCTGGGGCTGGTCAGCTTGTCCAAGGCCACACAGGCTGGGTCTTTCCCTGAAGGCACAGAGGGGAATCAAACTCCCAACCTCTTATCTCCGCAGCCAGATGCCTATCCCACTGAGCTATCCAGCCAGACACCAGTATCATTGTTTTACTCTTTTCCTTCCTGTCTGTTTCAGTGGAATGGAAAATACCTCCATACTTGACTCCTAATCCCAGGGCCTCTTGTAGAGGAATGGGAGCAACATCCAATCTAGCATATCCATGGTCATTTTTGCCCCTGGAAAACCCAGCAGGGTTGTATCATAACACAGAGCCAGCGGCTGATTTCCTACAGTGGGGCTTGATCCATCTATGGATCCTGCATGGATCCATAGATGGATCAATGATCTTGATTGTGTGTGTGTGAGAACCTCCTATATGGTAGGAGAGGGGGGATTTTGAGTCACATTTTTCCAGAATCCCCCAGCCAGCATGGCCACTGGGAGTTGCCATCAGTACCAGGGGCTTCCCAGTGAACTACCCTCCCAATACTGGAAGTGCTCTTTTTAGCCACTGGTAGGGCACTTCTGATATGTCCTCATCCACTGAGAGCCATTCCAGGGTGTTCACACTGTTCTGGTTTGGACTAGTATAGTTGTCATGACTATTCTGTTCCATTTTATTTCAGTAAGACTGACCCCACTGCATGGACTCAAGTCTTTCTGGCATAACAGGAATTACTCCCTAGTAACTGTGTGGCCTTAGCTGCTTTTTTCCCCCAATGCAGTCCTAGTAGCTTTTAAGGCAGCAGTAAGAAGCTTTGGATTCTACGGCATAATCAACAATCTGAGGTTCCCAAGATGGCCACTTCCTTTTTCTTATGACTTGGCCATTGGGCGGTTTTCTAGTTTTCCTACAGGCCTGGCCTTCAGTTCTAGAAAGCTGAAAATGCTGCTTCTAAGATTTTGTTACTGGCAGTTCAGAGCTTTAATCTAAGATATTTTTGTTCCTGCTCTTTGCCTTTAAAATGAGCTAGAAAGTATATCTGAAATTGCACCAGGCCCGCACACTGAAAGATGTTCCCCACTTCCATTTTAATTAATTTAATAACATCATTCATGTGTGTGGACTGAATGCACATAATTACCTCAGATCCCTTGACTTAATAAGAAACTGTTATCTTTTTAAAAAAACTCATGCAATATTTCTTGTTTAAGACTTTGTTGCCATGTATTTAATGCTCCTGTGGGAGAACAAAGAAGGCTCACCTTTAGAGTAATATTCTTCAGTAAAGTATCCTCCAACACTGCTTGAAGCTTCTTTTTTAAAAAAAACTCATGCAAGATTTCTTGTTTAAGACTTTGTTGCCATATATTTAATGCTCCTGTGGGAGAACAAAGAAGGCTCACCTTTAGAGTAATATTCTTCAGTAAAGTATCCTCCAACACTGCTTGAAGCTTCTTGTTTATCTCCAGAGAAAGTTCCAGTGTAAGCCCGCTGTCTGCTGGGTGTGATGTGTACAGAGAGGCCATGATCCCACCACGCCTGCTTAAATGCACTTTATTGAAATCAGAGGCCTCAGATGAAAGTGTTCCAGCTTCTTCCCTCAGAATGTAACTTTGGATTATTCTGGACAAAATAAAACAGCATTAAGATACAAACCTAATGCAGGGCAAGCTAAAAACTGATGGCAACTCCCAGTGGCCATGCTGGCTGGGGGAGTCTGGAAAAATGTGACTAAAAATCCCCCCTCTCCTACCATATAGGAGGTTCTCACACACACACAATCAAGATCATTGATCCATCTATGGATCCATGCAGGATCCATAGATGGATCAAGCCCCACTGTAGGAAATCAGCCGCTGGCTCTGTGTTATGATACAACCCTGCTGGGTTTTCCAGGGGCCCCAAGAAGTGAAAAAGAAAGCTTCAGCAACAGAAAGCGCAATACACCCTTCTTACTTTCACCTGTGCAAAACAAAAGCAACCTTAGGACACACTCCCAGGCTTCCAGTGTCACACTCTCAAATTTTAACATAGCAAGGTCCTCGAGGGACAATCTTTTGACATCACTTTTGTAGTTAATAATTTAGATGCATGCATTTCCAAGAAGAGCTGATTAGCTTGTTCTGAATGTGCAAATGAAATAACAGGTTTGGTAAATTTGTAGAGACTATGTGGGACATTGAAATAAAAATCCAGCTTTTCGGGGAAGGGGTTTGAATCAAAAATTGACACTGATAGGTGTGCGTAGCAATCACGTCTTTCTAAAATTGACATCTTGAACACATTGTTGCAGTGACATGCAGATGCACAATTACTTAGCAGTTTTAAACCAAAGCAACAAATACAATGGTGCCTCGTTTGTAGAGACTATGTGGGACATTGAAATAAAAATCCAGCTTTTCGGGGAAGGGGTTTGAATCAAAAATTGACACTGATAGGTGTGCGTAGCAATCACGTCTTTCTAAAATTGACATCTTGAACACATTGTTGCAGTGACATGCAGATGCACAATTACTTAGCAGTTTTAAACCAAAGCAACAAATACAATGGTGCCTCGCCTCGCAGCCAAGTATGGTATGTACACCAACTGTGCAGTACCTCCGGGCAGAGATGACATAGGGTGCCAAACGGATTAGGCCAGAACAACAAATTCAGCCCCCATGCTGAAAAAAGCACCCAACACTCCTCAGCTAAGCCATGTTCCCAAACTAAAAGCTCTCAGGTATACTTTTCTGGGGAAACTGAGTTAACTCTTATTCCTTGAACACACATCCCTTTCCTATTTTAATGTTCCTTTTTCTTGTGCACACTGATCATTACACAAGCTTATATAGTAAAAAAAATATTATAAATGAAGTGGGTTTTAAGTCTGCCTTCACTTGAGCCCTTCAACATCAAAAGTCCCTTCATTTTCCCAGGTGGCTTCAGAGCACTTCTGTTTATACCTACTGCCCTGCAGAGTACAGAAACTAAACTTATCCATCCTTTCACTCTGCATAAGGTCACTACCCCTCTTCTCCAGGTCTAGAACACTCCCTTTCATTACACCAGGATCATTCCAGCTGGCTTATGTCACAACAGAACTGGAATCCAGCATTCGGCTGGCACCCTCGCTGGGCGTTTTCAAAAGCCAACTGAAAACTTGACTATTCAAGCAGGCTTTCCCTTCAGTCAATTAAGTGATGCTTATTTCTTATTTCTTTCCTTTTAACTTGTGCCATCTTGGAACTCTTTACTTTTAAATTAATTGTTAAAATTGTAAGTTCTTTGATTTTATACTTCTTTGTTTTATCTATGTAAATTGTATATATTTTAAATTGTTTCTATTTGTATGTTGTGAGCCGCCCAGAGTAGACCATGTCTAGATGGCCGGCATATAAACGCAATAAATAAATAAATAAATTACAAACAATCCTCTTTAGATACACAACTTATTTCTATGGCTTCCTGCTCTTCTCTAAAAGTCCCGTTCATATTTCCTTTCCTGATACTCTTTACTTTTCTTTCTGGTAGCCTATTGTTGAACTTTCCTATCTTCTAATTTCTCAGCCTATCACACAAAGATCTTCTTATTCATGATATTTGAATGGGACTTTAATCCATGCCTAAGTGAAGCTTTCTTCTCACAAATGCAGGACTGCAAACACTATGATAACTATTATTATATTATTATTTTAAAAACACTAGGCACCATCCATCAAAATTATAACAACATTGACTAGTATTGTATAATAGATACATGTTTTAACCAAAAACCTAAATATCTGTTAAACATGGGCCTAGTAAGTATGCTTTCTAATATTGCCATTTTTATAGGTCTCATGGTGTTATTTCTGAGATCTGCAACTGCTTATAGTAC